GCTTCATAGGCCTTTCAGGCCTCTCTAAGCGGTTTACAGAGAGTCAGCATATTGCCCCCAACAATCTGGGTCCTCATTTTACCCACCTCGGAAGGATGGAAGGCTGAGTCAACCCTGAGCCGGTGAGATTTGAACCGCTGACCTGCTGATCTAGCAGTAGCCTGCAGTGCTGCATTTAACCACTGCGCCACCTTGGCTCAGCAAATGGCTGTAGAACCACAGAGAACTGTATATGTGGTTACATTTTGTATCTGAAATTAATATATATATACAAATAATAATTAGAGTTTTATTTTCAGACTTTAAAAAAAACCAAACCTGGTACATATTGAATCCTCTTGCTCTGGAAATATCGTCACACCCCTCTGTTTTTGATGCCACACCTGGTGTGAGCTGCATCTGTTACCATCCACTAACCTCAAGCAAAATACTTATCGGAAAGCCAATACAACGGAAATTAAAACCAAAAGCAGTTTTAGCTGAGTTTTGAGGCATGTGTTTGAAGAGTGTTCGGAACCACACGGTGCATTATTTCCCAAACTGGGCAAGCTAAAAGATTTCTGCACTGCTTCAGATGAATTGAATTTACATTGCTCCTTTATTATCTACTAAATGGCAAAAGGATAGCAGTTTAAATGATAATGTGTATGTTTTTTTTTTAATAATGACAACAGGACTGTCATGCCATAGTGTAAAGTCCTTCATAAATAACAAAAATATGACAAAAAGAACTTAAAAGAATAACAGCGTTGGAAGGGACATTGGAGGTCTTCTAGTCCAAACCCCTGCTCAAGCAGGAGACCCAATACCATTTCAAACAAATGCTCCAGTTTTTTTCTTGAAAGACTTTCAGTGACGGAGCAACCACAACTTCTGGAGGCAAGCTGTTCCAGTGATTAATTTTTCTAACTGTTAAAGGTTAAGGTTTCTGTATACTTGCTCTGAATATGGTTGCTGCCATATGTATACACCAATGTCTAAACAGTTGGTGCTTCTCCGACTCACTTCAAAAACCAGATTTTAGAATCCAGAGCTTTGATTTAATTCTTTTTTCTTTGCATCCTATATTCGCTCATTCTTTAAACAGCATCCACATAGTCCCTGGTGTTGTACAGTTCTATTACACTTTCAGGTTTTGTAGGTTATCTGTTTCTTTCATCTTTATTTAAAGGACTCCTTTACCTTTAAAGGACATTTCTGCGAATTCAGCCTATTGTATTGTTTCCTGTTGGGTTGGGTGGGGCAGGAAAAGCAAGCAATGGCTGTTAAATCACTTCTTTTACAGTCGCATATTTACATGTGGATAAGATTCATGACATATGGGAAGAATTAATTTAGGAGGGTGATTTCATAAGAGTTGAGCTGGTGGGTTTTTTTTTGGGGGGGGGTTGTTCCCAAACAAGCTTGGAGAAGAGCAATTGAATTGTGCTTCCTTCTGATTAGTAGTCATAAATTACTTACATGCCTTTGGAAACACAACAATATTTGGACTGACAGGAGAAGTGGTTTATTGGTCTACGCTTTGCAAATCTTCATCCTTAAGGAGGCTGCATTGCATTTCAAACTAATGTTGGTGAAATGGTTCTTATCTCTATGCACAGGGCAACTGGTCATTCTTGTATATTAAAATGCTAGCTGTTCTTAAAAGATATGTCTCTGTCATTTGATTACAGCCCATCACTTCTTGTGAGGTGGCCAGCTATAAGATGAAATGAATAAATAAATCCCAGAAGCAGTTAATAGATTAGGAAATGGTTAGTGGTGCTTTCAAAAACTTTTGAAAAGTTGCAAACAAAATCTATATAATTTGCCAAAAATAGCTGAATGGCAATAAACTGAATAGAATATCTGTTATGTTCTCTGGACTAGATGCATTGGCTTACCTCAGAAACCCATAGTTTTGAATATACTAGACAATTTTTAAAAAAGATTAAATCAACAATTCAGTTTCACTGACAATTTAAAACTTGATGCAATTAAACATTATTAATTCATATAAAAACTGATGTAGAGATTTGAAACTTCCTCTTTTAAACCAGACTTTTAACAATGTGAAATATATTTCCTATGATTCTAAAATGAAATCAATTTATCAAAATATTTTTCCCATGTTTATTGGACTCCTCGGGATGTTTTAAAAGGTTAGTTACTCTCTTTATCTTGGAGATAAAATAAATTGGAAGATGCATTAATATGCATGGCTACTTAACAGTGGTTGAGTATTCTTATCATGAATCAGATATCTGGAAAGAAATTAAAGGTTAAGGATGCTAATATTGTGTTAAACTATTCCCAAAATTTAGAATTCCTCAGTTCAGAATTTTGTGTATCCTATGCCTGGATTGTTGTTTATAAAATCATCAAGTGTTGCTAGAGTAACATTTGTGTAGTCAAAATCTGCTGAACAGTGTGGCACCCTTTATCTTTATATCTTTTTTGATGTAAAGGAAAGACGTGACAATATAAAGCCGAGATTCAATGTATTGTTTAAAAATAAAATTGTAGCAATGTTCACAGAACTGTAATAATTGTTATTTGACTTGAACTTCTTTCAGTTTCTAATTTCCTCTTTTGAAACTTGTATTTCTATATTTCGTTTCTGTTTTGCAGTCCTAGCAAGGCAAAGAAATAATACTTTTAAGAAATTGACACTGCACTATGGAATAGAATAGAATTATTTATTGGCCATGTGTGATTGGATACACAGGGAATTTGTCTTTGATGCATATGCGCTCAGTGTACATAAGGAAAATAAAATACATTCATCAAAAATAAAAAGATATAACAGTGATAGTCCTAGGTTACTAATAAGCTATGAAATCATACTAGGAAACAATTAAAAATATAAATTGAAAGATACAAGCAACATGGTTATAATCATAAGTGGGGAGAGATAGATACTAGGAAGGAAGAGAAGAATAGTAGTAATACATTCTTAGTAAATTGACAATTTGGGGGGGAATTAGTTGTTAAGCAGTGTTTAAGACTGGACTAATCCTTTCTGAAGGAAAGAAATGGGTGTGTTGAAGTAACAAATTTGGAAACTTGGAATTGTGGTTCATGGGAAATGAGAGAAGTTTCCATTTCCAGCCAGAAGCTTGTAGTTGTGGAGGCAATTCCAGAAATTGTTTCTATTAATCTGATTTTTGACTCTCAGGACAAGAACTCTAAATACAGTGCAATCCTTGATATGCAGAATATAATTATCTTACTGATAACTGTGGGTTTGATGAGGTTATAAATCATGTAACAGATCTTTTATTCAGCACATATATCCATGCAGTTCAAGCACTACAAAAGAGATCAAAATGTTTTTCAGCATTCCTTATAAAACAGGGAAAGGGAAAGGAGCACCCTGTGTTTATTTTGAGGAAAATCCAGCATTTTTGTAGAGGGGAAAATAAATCAAAAATTTAATCTGATGAATATTTTAGTTGCTTTGATTTTATGGTCTCCACTCCCCCATTAAATTTATTGTTTATGTGAGAATTGTTTTAAATATGCATATACTTCTGGCTTAGTTTTAAATTTTTGTTTTGTTTCTACTTTGTGGAATGTTGAGAAACGATTTAGCTAATTTTTATCTGTGGGGAAAAAAATCACTTCTTTCCAAAAATACTTTGAGTGGAAACAGTTAGGGTGTTTTTTAGCTACAGTTTTTTAGCTTTGATTTTCTTTGACCCAAGTCATAAGAATAACTTTCCATTATATTTCCTAACTCTATCTATGAAGAAAATGACTCAAAGCAGGCAAGTTCCTTGTTTGTTTAAAATGTATATTTTGACTCATTATGTTGTGCAGAAAAAAGATGTTGAAATACAGCTTTGCATCATTTCATTAATTTCCCAGGGTACTAAAGTTGAACTGGGTGGCACAGTGATTAGATTGCGGAATTGCAGGCAAACTCTGCTTACTGCCAGGAGTTGGATCCTGACTGGCTCAAGGTTGACTCAGACTTCCATCTTTCCAAAGCCAGTAAAAATGAGGATCCAGATTTTGGGGGCCAATGTGCTGACTCTGTAAACTGCCCAGAAAGGGCTGTAAAGCACTGTGGAGGCTATATAAGTGCCATTGCTATTAAAGTTATATGGCAATGAATAAGCATGAATATGGCTCTATTGTGAGTTCATTCATACAAAGGATGCAATAGCACTAAAAACCCTTCCATTCTATAGCAATTGACCTCATTAGCCCAATGCTTTTTTCACAATATGGCCTTCTGGGTGGCAGCATAAAGAATATTGTATGTATGCAACAGTTAGGAGAGAGGGGGGAGGGAGGGAGGGGGAGAGGAGAGGGAGAGAGGGAGAGAAGGACAGGGAGAGGGGGGGGAGGGAGGGAGGGGGAGAGGAGAGGGAGAGAGGGAGAGAA